CTGGCAGAGTCCAGAGAAGTTTGTCTGGGATATCTACCAGAGGGGTGACAGCTCCCTGTCACTTAGGCCAGGTCTACACTACCGCGCTAGTTCGGCGGCTGGGGATCGAACTTCCTGGTTCGATTTATCGCGTCTGGTCTGGACGCGATAAATCGAACCAGGAAGTGCTCGCCGTCGACTGCGGTACTCCAGCTCAACGAGAGGAGTACCGCGGAGTCGACGGGGAGCCTGCCTGCCGCGTGTGGACCGCGTCTGAACCGCGGTAAGTTCGAAGTAAGGTATGTCGAATTCAGCTACGTTATTCACGTAGCTGAATTTGCGTACCTTACTTCGACTTGGGGGGTAAGTGTAGACCAAGCCTCAGTTTAGCACCAGCAAAACTCTCACTCGCTGAGGCAAGGGGGTTACACAGTGACTTCATGTTTTGGGCACCGCAAGAAAGCATCACAGGGGGTATTTTCTTTAAAAGGACGAGATGGAGTCTCTCCCTTTCTGTGTGTGTGAATTATGCCCACCAAATTTGCACTTGCAGTTTTCAACCTGCAAAATGAAATACAAATCAGAGCACTTGCCTCGCTACTTGGCTGATTTGCATCTGCAATTGAACTGCAATATGAAAATGTGCATGCCAGATTTGCTGGTGCAAATTGTGCCCAGGAAATCTGCAAAATATAATCTTGTCGGGATAAAAAGAAAATTATGCTCCAAAAGAGTTCTAAAGACAAAAAAAAAAAGGGGGTAGTGTGGAATAGTGTAGCTGAAGTCAACATATCTTAGGTCAACTTATCTCACATCCTCACGGCGCGGGGTCGACTGCTGCCGCTCCCCCGTCGACTCCACTTCCACCTCTCGCCACGGTGGAGTTCAGGAGTCGACGGCAGAATGATCGGGGATCGATTTATCGCATCTACACTAGACACGATAAATCAATCCCTGATAGATCGATCACTACCCGCCGATCCGGCAGGTAGTGTAGACGTACCCTTAGTCACTGAGGTGTGCGTGTCAAGAGCTGTAGGAGGAAGCCACGCTGTTGGAAGAACTAAGCAGTACAAATCCATATCAGGTGCAAGAAAGGAGGCCCTGAGGTGATGGTGAAGGAAATACTGAGTAGGGGCTGCTGTGGGGAAGTGGCCCAGGGAATTGTACACGTCCTATTTCCAAAAAGTCAGCTACCATAGCTGCTATTATTAGGGTCCCTGGGCTGGAGCCCGGAGTAGAGGGTGAGCCCGGGCTCCCCACTCCTCCCCGATTAATCACTGAGATTGGGAGACAACAGAGACTGTGCGAGGGAGGGTTGCTTCTCCTCACCTCCCTTGCTGGCTTATGATGAAAATGGCTCAGTAGGCTGTGACCCTTGTCTCTAGAGAGAGAAGGGCTACGTGGAGGGTCACAGTGAGCCTCTGAGGCTAGCGAAATCCGCCAGAAAGCGTGGGACCCACTGAGACAAGAACAAAGCTTTGTCACACAATGAAATGTCAATTAGACACAAAGTAAACTCTTCTTTCCTAAATCCGGCTATTGCACAAAGGAAGCCTGGTAGACACGTGCAAAATTGTTCCCAGATTGCTTAATTCACACAATAAATTGTGAGGTTAGAAAAGACAGCAAAATAGAAATTGAAGTTTTGGGTGGCTAAAGGAAATTCCATTTTAATTTACGGATTCTCTTTATGTGCCAATGTGCACCTGAAATAACTTTCCTCTCTTTCAAGCTGTTACCTACATACCTATCAGTGAAAAATGACACTCACTAATAAAAATATAAAGTGCTTGCCCTTCTATAATTTGTTCTGTTGAGTTGATTGCAGGCAATGTGCACAGATGTGTATTCCTGAAGAGAAAATGCTTCTGGTTTTGAAAAGAGTGTATGTAGATACAGTGCATGTATTTAGCACATCTTTTAGGTTTATAATTATATATAAGAGCAATAGATGTCTAAGATCTGATATTTTATTACGAGGCTTTTATCATCAGAAAAACATTTAAAATACCAACATTCAAATAAACATGAATATTAAAATGACTGGACTAGCAAAGCAACCCAAATGAAAAATAAAGGCAAGGGGGCTGATTCTCCTGTCACGTTGGTGAAAATCAGGCACAAGTAAAGATATTCTGGTTTTATACAATGTAAGTGAAAGGAAAATCAGACCCAGTGTAGACACTGTATCAAATATGCATGGTAGTTATTCCTTGCAAGTGCAATAGCTTGTCATTTTGAAATTTTTATTCCACCCAATAAATCTAATAGAATAGTGAGGACAAAGTCCTGTTTTTGTATTGATTACGCCAGTCATTCACTTCTAGAAAAGGTGAGTCAACATTCTGTTCTCAGTAAAACAAGCTGGAAGTCAAAATTGGTTTGTACATGTGTGATTGAAATTGGCCCAATGTGTAAATTTAAAAAAAATCCATAGTCACACAAACCGTACTCAAAAAACTACGACACAGGAAAAAGGATTTTTTCCTATATGATGTTAATAAAAATAACGATCTCAGGATTGGGCATTACCTAGCAGTTTATAACCACCTGGATTAACTGCAGCCCTCAGCTTCTCTAGTCAGTCTCCAAATACCAGAAAATGCTCTCCCTGTCAGACATTACATTGGACCTAGTTCTATCCTGACCCACGCCCTGTGCAGTCCTATTCACTTCAGCCTTATTCAATTCCAGTGGAGATACAGTATGTGATCCAGGGAAGAATTTGATCCATAACATTAAGACGTGACCAGTATTGAAATGGCTGGCCCATCTGATCGCTTGCACGCTCCATAAAATTCCCAGTGCTGCCTGTGGTTATATCTGGTACCCACCATCACCATCATACCAGTCAGGTTCCCTTCGTTTAGCCCTTTGACCGCACTCCTGTTCCTGTTATTTTATTAGTTGTCCCCCAGAATCATTTGGTTTCCAGGCCCAGTGGATCCTCCCCTTAGGCTGGGGGGAAGTCCTTTAGCAGTGGGCAGGCTCCACCCGCCCACTTCCTGGATCCCAATAGGATCACCATCTTGACATCTGACACTTCAGAAAGGACTGACACTGAAAGTAACATCTGGGGGAGGCTAATATTTTGTCATCTTCTTAATGACATCCTTTCCAGCCGTACTTCCTTCAGCAGCAGTACCTCATTAGGTTAAGTTGTCTAGCCAATGGAAATCACGATCACTCAGGTTTTTATTACAGCAGCTTGTTCGCCAGGTTAGCTAGCCAAATAACCAATCTCCCCATGCGTACTTTCAAATGCAGAAACGTTTGAGAAATGCAGTAACCCTCACCCACCGAATAACTGTACTAAGCTCGGCAGATAATAATGACAAATCATAACATTTTGAAAGGCTTTGTGATCGTGGATTTTAATCTTTACCAGCCTGATCAGACTGTCCTATAGCTCATCTCACTACTCTTATAAGTGTGAGGTTGAAGACCTAACTGCAGTTTATGGAAAAGTTGCCTATCTAAGATGCCCATGACAAATTTCTCTTCAAGATGTTCAGTCCTCTTTACTCTTTTCAAAGCACAGGGACCTGCTAGCTCATAGAAACGCCTTCTAAATCATTCTGTTGTTTCTGGATCTATGCTTCCCTGGCAGAAATGTGCCCTCTTGTGAATGTATGTTCCATTTAGGGAGTGGGCATTTCAAATGCGCCTAAGGGAGTTAGGTAACCAACTTCCATTGACTTGTAAGTTAGCAACTCAGTTCCCTTATGTCTTTTTGAAAATTCAATCCAAATAGCGATCGGTTTTCTCTGTTAACGGCTTTATGCGGTTCTTCCCCTCCGTTAGGCTCTAATATCTCCCGCACTATGTGAAGATCTCAGAGCTTTTCTGCTGTGCTCGGGCTGCAAATGAATCCAACTCTTGCACACAACAGTCTGTTTATCGGAGTAGATAACAATGAACAGGAGTTCAATGTATTCATTCCATTAAAAAAAGAAATATCTGTATGGGCCCAGAAAAACAAAGTTTCAGCCCAGAGCAAATTTTTGCAGCTCTTCTATATTTTCCTAAAAATTAAACTGTTGATTCACATTAAATTCTTAAGTACGGTTTCTGGATGTGGGTGGATACATAAACAAGAGGGATGTTTCCTGCCCTGCAGTCAGTGGGCTCAGTTGTGTCATAAGGCGCTGCTCCATGTTGCAGGTCGTGCAGAGCTGAACCCAGCATTGTGCCAGGAAGGCAAAATTTCCCTCCTGGAGTTCCCCTGCATGCAAGTGAAGTGTGCCTGCTGCTCTGCTCCTTCAGGGGTGCTGCATACTCCCCACAGTATGTCCAACAAGCACTGTTGCCCCAGTGCACAGGAGGGCCGGGGCCATGGGCTCATCACCTCCCCATCCCCTTGGGGAGTCTTGCACCTCAGAAAACACATGGAGAGAAAAATCTCTGCATGCATCAGGAGACTAGTGACAACAGATGTACCCAGCAACTGCACAAAGACACGGGGAGGTAGCTTCTTGCTTCCGCGTGCAGAGGCAGGTGGGGGCCTGTTGGGTGCCCTGGACTCTGACCAGGACAGGCCATAGGATCCATCTTTTTTAGATCTTCAAACAACCACCCATCACTTCTTTGGAGGCACATTTGGGACACAAAGCCTAACTTCAGCCACTAGACTAAAGCAGCCTCTGTGGAGCGGCTCCCATAGCCTGGGGCTTAGAGTCCCTCACTGGTCTGGGCACTAGGTTCCTGGATTTGGCCAGTGTGATAGCATTTATGGGGTTATGAGGTCATGGACAGGAATCAGGGTAAACCAAAGAATAATCCAATTTATAACCAAGTATTATCCTGGAAAACAGGGAGAAGCCTGAGAGAGACTATCCTAAACAGGAGAAACCCAGAAAAGCCAAAGGGAGTTTGTACACAAATAAGAATGGGAAAAAGGCTATTACCAATACCTACAAAACTGAAACTGACCTTCTCTGTGATGCATTTAGGTCACTTGTTAAATGCATGGAAAGTATTGATTTTGTTTAACTAAATTATCTCTGTGCATTTGACAGGGACAAATGCTAAACATGGACTGCGTTGTAAGGCTTGTAAGATGAGCATCCACCACAAGTGCATAGACGGTATTGGACAACAGCGTTGCATGGGCAAACTGGTAAGCAAGCTGCTCGGTACAAATTGAACAGAATGCTACACAGCTCGCATTTGCTCCATTAGCTCTCTAAACTCTGCCCTGTTAGCGGTTACCTCCGGAATGTAGCCGATTGGTGTGTTAGCTAATCTGGAATCAAGTTCCTTTCATTTAGACTGTGGCAATTATGATTCGAGAGCTGAGGAAACACATACAGTTTCTGTACTGTTGCAGGGATGTGGGTATATGGTTACACATGGGTCAAATTAATCTAAATATTAGTTATTTTTTAATTGAATATGCTATATAGTACGGATCTCTGCATAGAATTAATAAAACTGTTAAAATTAGGGCTGGTTTAAGCAGTTGAAAATCTGTTGATAAATATCCTGTGAATTTCATTTGACTGGTTTCTGCCCTCAGAATTTTGTGAAAACAATAATTTAGCTGCAAAAACCCCAACACTTTACAAGGATAGTAAATATCATGCTTCAGAGCTTAAGCTAAACACTGACTATTAGAGATCAGGATAAGACCTACTAACGGGGGTGGATTACCCCACATATGCTTATGCAGGGATCTTGCCCCTTCCTCTGAAGCATCTTCGACTAGCCACTGTTGGAGACAGGGAATACTGGACTAGCTGGATCCTGGGTCTGATCCAGTCTGGCAGTTACAATGTTCTTATGTTCCTGTGTTTCATGCTTTCTTAGTGAAAACAAGAAGGCCCGGTATAATTCGGCCAATTATGAATTTGCAACTCAATGGACAAATGTTCGCATTTCAGACATTTTGAGTTTTGTTGCAAATATTTCACACACATTAGTTTTGAAGGATAAAGAGGGAAATCAAAGCTTTACATCAGACACAAGTTAGGAACAAATAGGTTGAAGCCCAGCCCTTCTGAAGTCAATCTAAGTTTCGTCATTGATTTGAAAGGGGCTAGGAAATCCACCCATAGTCTTGCAGGGCCTGCTCTCTCCATGTGTTTGTACAGTAGTTCCTATTAGTATGAATGGAAGTTACACATGAGGTAAAACAGAATGTGTTTTAACCAGAATTGTAGTCGCAGCCTGGGTCTTTCTGGTGCAGAAAGCTGAGCTCTTAAGAATAGATGGGTATTAAAGAATTTAATTGCTGGTCTGGTGTAAGATAAATATTTAGTTCATATTAATTGTTTCAGACTTCAGGAGAGGGTACTGTGTCATTATACACATTGCCAGTTAAAGCTGTGTTGATGGTGGTTTAGTTTTTATACAGGAGCAAAAGAAAAAAGGCCACATTCAGAACTGTCAGAAGCAGGCACAATTCCATTTAAGTCAGGAGTTTTACAGGCCTATGGGCACTCAGAATTTGGCCTGTAGTTGGGAAAGTAAGGCTGTAAATCACTAGCATTTGTTCCCCACAGGCATCACAACTGTCAACTCCATCATTCCTTCTCCGTTTGTGTCTTTATATGGAAGCACAATAGCAGCAGGTTTTACTCCCTGCAACTTTACCCATCTGGATATTGTAGCTATACACATCCTCCCTAAACATTTCTTTACTGGCAATTTGGAAAATGCCACTGTTAAATGAAGTCACCCAGTCATGAGACTTCTACACTTCTTGTTGTGACGCGAGCCTGTATGTACCACAGGTTACAGCAGCCTAATGCAGGTAGCACTGATTAGCTATGAACTATAACTAATCAAAACTATGTACATGGTAACAACCATATTCAGGGTGAAAGTAACATTCAACACTTACCGGTACGGGGGCCGGCTCTGGCCCCCAGAAGGAGCGGGGCCTCGGGCAGAATGGGCGGGGCTTACTTTCACCCCAGCCATATTACAGGCTAGTGAATTCCTGAGCCTTTGGCCTTAGGCTGAGAATGTCTTATCTCAAGATATGGTAAATACTGAGTTAACAAAGTACTTCATTCATTATGAACTGCGCTAAAAAAGCGGCATGGCTCTGGCTGTTATACCATATTTCCCTAGAAAGAACATCTGAGGACTATGTGATTATTTTGTTTGAAATCTTTTGTACATAGGCCCAAATCCTGCTCCTTCGACCTCTAAGTGCATAGGACCCACAGGGAGTGGTCACGCATGGGCAGACTATTCCCTTTGTGCACTGCAGACTGTGCTCTAATAGGCTCTGTGCATGGCAGCACAGAGATTTGACGTTAGGGCAGGGCCGGATGGGGGCATTGCTAATAGATCCATCGCTATATACATTCACTGGCCAAATACTCTTGCATAGGAGACAAGTATCAGAGAGGTAGCTGTGTTAGTCTGTATCCACAAAAACAACAAGGAGTCCGGTGGCACCTTAACGACTAACAGATTTATTTGGGCATAAGCTTTCGTGGGTAAAAAACCCACTTTTTCAGATTAATGGATTGAAAATTCCTCACTGCATAGGACAGGAAAGATTGAGCCACCCTGAGGGCTACTGCAACCAATGGGCTGTAGTACAGGCTATGGAGCAGTGTTGCATCCTGTAGGGATGATTCCTGGAGAGAACTGCTGAGCAAAGCCCATTTACTCTGGCTTTGTATAAGGAAAGATGATTCACCCTTAAAGCCATATTTATGGGTATGTGTCTCTACCTCCCAAGGCTCCGAAGTGGGTCACCCCAATATGGGATAAAGACCCAAACTGAGAGCCACAAGAAAATCAGCAATTCCCGAAACTTTAAATAGTGTGGCAATAGCTTCCTTAGCATCGAATATTGCAAAACCTCTATTTTATGATCCAGCATTTCTGCTGTAATTAATTTAAACTTATTAACACTAAATTTGTGTAAGGGTTGAAGGTAAAATAGAGTTTGAAAATGAAGGCCATCATTCCAGATAATATTAAGAAACAGAAATGAGATGTTTCCAGCAGGCAAAAAAATAAACTCCTATTCTCAGCACCCTGCAGTGAAGGAGGTAAATTGCTGGTCTGTAACAGAGAGTATGTTCCTGCTCTCGAGACTTTATTTAGTGGGAAATCAGTCTAGCAGAACAGCTGAGATTATTTCTGATGCTGTATGACGCTACATCAGTCATATCACGCTACAACACGCCACATGTTTCCTCTCTCTAGCCAAAGGGGTTTCGGCGTTACTACAGTTCCCCACTACTCATTCATGAACAGTTTGGCTGCATCAAAGAAGTGATGCCTATTGGTGAGTTTTAATCTTTCAATCTCTCTTGGGCTGCACTATGCTTTCAGAAGTGGTGTTTGTTCTCAGCAGCCCTTCAACTCCTTTGCCAGTGAGGGGCCAGGTGTTCTTCCACCATCTCAGAGAAGTAGTCCTTCAAAACTGTAACCGAAAGAAAAGTGTTTATTTTTATTTTCAATATTACATGATTCAAAGGCACAATACAAATAAGATGCTCACTGTCATCAAACCAATGCCTGTGCTCAAAGTAGGAGGAGCCTGTGCATTGCTGCTAGCCAGGCCTGATTTGGGAAGAAGCACCACAAGAGTTGTATGTTAAAATAACAGTGAACTATGCTCAACACTGATCAGGATCTTGAATGAATTATGCTTCCATTCTCTCTTGTTCACCTTCCTTTCTGTTCTCTTTTTATTGTTACTGATTTAGTTATTATTTCTTCAGATACTTGGGCCAGATTTTGCTCTCTGTTACACCCTATTCTGAAAATGAAAATTTTGAACCAAAAAATATTCAATTTTGAAAAACTTCCTCCATGTAATTAAGTTGACCATTCAAAACTGGCAATGCAAAAACTGAAAACCAAGAAAATAACTAACATGAAAGAATATGTCTGAGAACAGCCAATGGGCTAATATTTTTGCCTGTAGTTTCCATCAAATATTTTTTTAAATTAAATGGCTGGGTGTAAATTTCCATTTTAAAAAAAAGACCCTTTTAGTATGAGAACTGTTTCTGTTCAAAATATTCTGAGCAGCTCGTCTGTAAAAACAAGGTTTGTCTTGCTCTCTGTGACATTAAAGATCCCAGTATCTTTCACCGCCCTGCTATGTAGGTTAGCTGGTTACCACCCTTCACCCCAGAGGAGGCTGCATTTCTGTTATGCTATGTGTTATGTAGAACCTGAATCTGGTCTCAATCACACTGCTGTAAATTTATAGTCTTCGACTGACTTACCTTGATTTACACCAGTGTAAGTGACAGCGTACATTCAGAGATTCCAAAGCCAGAGGAACAACTGTGATCAACTAGACTGACCTCCTGTATAACACAAACTGCAGAACTTGCCCCATATAATTCCTCTTTGAACTAAACCATACATTTTAGAAAAACATCCAGTCTTGATTTTAAAATTTCTAATGATAGAAAATCAGGTCCACAGTTCTTGAATGCGCTTTGGGATGAAGAGTGCTAGTCAAATGTAAGGCCCTGATCCTACATTGAGAACTGTGTGGACAGACCTTATTGACTTAACTGGGGCTCAGCTTGGGGACAAGGGTCCTCTCCTGTGGTTCTCAATGTAGGATTGGAGTCCCATATTCATTAACTTGCATCATTTTTCTCTTTACTCGACTGAAACTTTTGCTGTTTTGAGATACGGTAGAAGTGCTCAGTTCTTATAAAACGATAGCTATGTAGGGCTGACGGGACCTCAAGAGGTCATATAGTTCATTCCCCTGCTCTGAAGTGGGACCAAGCGTACCTAGACCATCCTTGACAGGTGTTTGTCGAACCTATTCTCAAAAACCTCCAATGATAGGGATTCCACAACCTCCCATGGTAACCTGTTTCAATGCTTACAGTTGGATAGTTTTTCCTATATCTAACCTACACCTCCCTAGTTGCAGATTAATCCCATTACTTCTTGTCCTACCTTCAGTGGACATGGAGAACAATTGATCACAGACCTCTTAATAACAACCTTTAACATATTTGAAGACTGTTATCAGGTCCCCCCTCTGTTTTATTTTCTCAAAACTAAACATGCCCAATTTTTTAACCTTTCTTCATAGGTCAGGTTTTCTAAACCTTTTATCATTTTTGTTGCTCTCCTCTGAATTCTCTCCAAGTTTTCCACATCTTTCTTAAAGTTTTGTGCACAGAATTGGACACAGTACTCCAGCTGAGAACTCACCAGTGCTCAGTAGAGTCTCCTACATACAACACTCCTCTTAATACAGCCAAGAATGATATTTGCCTTTTTCTCGTGCATCACGTTGTTGGCTCATATTCCATTTGTGATCCACTATAACCCCGAGATCCTTTATTCCAGTTATTTCCAATTTTGTAGTTGTGCATTTGCTTTTTCCTTCCTAAGTGTAGTACTTCGCATTTGTATTTATTTCATCTTGTTGATTTCAGATCAGTTCTCCAATTTATCAAGGTCCTTTTGATTTATCATTCTGTCCTCCAAAGTACTTGCAATCCCTCCCAGCTTGATGTCATCTGCAAATTTTATAAGCATAGTTGCCACCCCATTGCCCATTAATGAAAATACTAAATAATACCAGACCCAGGACTGATCTCTATGAGATCCCATTAGATACACCCTCTTAGTTTGACAGCGAAGCACTGATAATGACTCCTTCAGCATGGTATTTCAACAAGTTGTGCACCCACCTTATAGTAAATTCATCTAGACTGCATTTCCCCAGTTTGCTTATGAGAATGTCATATGGCACTGGTCTTACTAAAATTAAGTTATATCATGTCTACTGCTTTCCCCTTATCCACTAGGCCAGTAACCCTGTCAGGGAAGGAAATTTGGTTGGTTTTGCATGATTTATTCCTGACAAATTCATGTTAGCTATTACTTATCATCCTATTATCCTCTAGGTACTTACCAACTGATTATTTAATCATTGTTCTAGTACCTTTCCAAGTATTGAAGTTAGGCTGACTGGTCTATAATTCACCAGGTCCTCTTCATTCCCCATTTAAAGTAATTAGCATGTTTTCCCTTCTCCAGTCATCTGGAACCAGTTCATTCTCCATGAGTTTGTGAAGATAATTGGTAATGGTTCCGAGATTGCTTCAGCTAGGTCCTTAAATACCCACAAAGACACAAAGTAGAGCTCAGCTCTTATGAGAAGATCCAGTTCCCTTCGTGAACTGCTAATGACTTTTGTCCTTTTACATATATTTTAAATATCTTCCATTCAAAACAAAGGCCACAATTTGCTGGATGTTGAGATAAGGCCCATCTCTCTCTTGCAAAGGAAGTAAGAGCCAGTCATAGAGTGTGTGGGTGGGAGGGATCAAGATAGCAGAGAAAAGGAGTCTATGAGCAAGATCGATGGCCTAAGGGTATGTCTTATATATATATATAGATATATAGATATATGCACAGCAATAGATGATGCAATTGCAGCACACATCGGCATACTCAAGCAGGCTTGCTAAAAATAGCAGGGAAGTTGCATCGGTACAGGCAGTGGCACATATCCCAAATATCCTGATTTTATAGGGCCAGTCCCGATTTTGGCGTCTTTTTCTTATATATGCTCCTATTACCTCCCACCCCCGTCCCAATTTTTCACATTTGCTGTCTGGTCAACCTAGTGACACAGGCTAGCTACCCAAATACAGTCCCACCTGGGACCCCAGGTACGAATTCGAGCAGCTAACCCATGCCACCATGCCTACACTGTTACTTATAGCAAGTTGGCTCAATCAAAGCTAATATGGATATGCCTACATGTGCCATCCCAATTGCAGCATAGACTTATCCTAAGTGGGAGAAGGGAGAGGCTGTGGGACAGAGGGAATGGGTGTAGATCATGTAGTTTCTCATAGATGAGGTGATTTTAGTTGCAATGGGAGACAATTGCGGGGGGGAGGTCAGTCAATAGGAAGGGGAGCAAAGAATGAATGGAATGACGGGATGGGCAGTTAAGTCTCTAAGTGAAGGAGACATAATGGTGGGTACTTTCTTTCACGTGTTTATCTCTGTTTTGCCTCTTCTGTTGCAGCCTGTGGCAACAAAGTCGACCCTGTGTATGAAACCCTCCGCTTTGGAACCTCCTTAGCACAGAAGACCAAGAGGGGCAGCTCTGGAAGTGGATCTGATTCACCCAAACGGAACTCTGTAATTCTTGTGTTTTATCTTCCCTTTTCCTTTTGCAGGATCACAGCACATCCATGCACAATAATTGTCAGTTTCCATCAGAAAACCCAAATTTCAGGCTATTAAAAAAATATATTCCAGACTAGAACAGGGCCTATAAACTCTTTTTTGTAAACTCAGTTTTTAAAAATCTTGTAAATAACCTTAAAAAGAAGGAAAAATAGATGTTGAACAGGTGAGCGTTCCTGTTTCACTTTGATCTGAAAATGCTGAAATTCAACAAACCACGTAGGCCAGAATTATTTGGGAGGGAGAGGAGGGGAAGTAAAAACAGAAAATAAACAAAAATGTTTAAATTTGAAAAGTGACTTGCACGGGCACCGCACCGACTTTAAAAGACGCATTGGTATCTTGCAATTAGCTGTGACTAGCCAGCAGTGCATAGTCACACTGTTCTAGGGGCAGGGCTGGTACTGAATTCTGCCTCCACCCACTCTTTGCCCATGTGCACAGGAGAGGGAGTAGCAGCCCAATGGCACTGGGATCCATGATCTGAGTAGACCATGCAGGTCATTAAGGTAGCACCTTACATCCCCTCATTTCCATTCCTCGGCTTGTTGGCCAGTCCATGACTGAAGCAGCAGATGGCTGTTTTTTCAGGGGTGCTGAATGCCCACAACTCTAACTGAATTCAGTGGAAATTGCAGGTGATTGGCATCTCTGAAAATCAGGACCTAGATAGTAGTAGTAGTCTGGGAATAGTTGGCTGCAGGGCTTAAATTCTGCATTAGCCCCATAGGGAGGCGCTTGGGCTCAGGGCTTTACCCTGTGGGGAGGTGCCAGGGCTCCCACGGGTTTGAAAATATTCACTGGAGCCAGGGGTGGCTCTATGTATTTTGCCGCCCCAAGCACGGCAGTCAGGAGGCTTTTGGCGGCATGCCTGCGGGAGGTCCGGCTGGTAACGTGGATTCGGCGGCATGCCTGCGGGAGGTCCGCTGGTCCCGTGGCTTCGGCAGCAGGCACGCCGAAGCCACGGGACCGGCGGACCTCCCGCAGGCATGCCGCCGAAGGCTCCCTGACTGCCGCACCCGCTTGGTGCGCTGGTGCCTAGAGCCGCCCCTGACTGGAGCTCTGCTCCGGAGGGCTCCAGCTGAATTTAAGCCCTGGCTGATCACATGGTGCTAGGTTGGGTCCTTATTTCATTAAAGATGGCTGGAAATAATACATTATGTGGGTGGGCGGAGTGATCCTCCATGATGAATGAGAAGGAAGGTGGTCAACAGACAATCTCTCTAAGGTGTTGTCTGCACTTGAAAAAGGGAACTCCCGCCTTAGAGTGAAGCCATCACTGTAAGAAAGCACTCATAGGATTTAGGCCCCTATTCAGCACAGCACTCAAACACATGCTTAATTTTAAACTGGTGCTTCAATCCATCCCTGTTCAGCACAGCACTTAAACCATTATTTCATTGGGACATTAACAGATGCTTAATTGCTGTGTTGAATCAGGGCCTTAAATGGTACAGATGGCCTTTTAAACAGATGTTAATTTAACTCAGAAAGGCAAACACAGAGAAATTCAAACTAGAGACTTACAATTCCTAAGTGAAAGCTGCACAGGAGTTAGTAAAGGACATGCCCTTCATCCAGTGTTTTCTCTTTTAAAAGAAACTTAATAATTTTCCACCTTTTTAAAATCCAAAACCAGTTTTAACACCTTTCACGGTTTGTGATGACAGCTCTTTCTTTCTCTTATTTAATTTATACTGGAACAGGAGTTCTACAAATGTAATTATTACCTGCTAAATCAATAAAGCATTATGTTAAATTATGAATGATTACTCAGGCGTAGAAAACACAAATGCATTGTTGGCTTGCCCTGGACTTTTGATCATAACAAGATGGGGAGTGGGTGTAAAGTATAGAATGCCAGTTTGTCATGAGCTAGTCTCCCAGAGAGTCAAATTGTGACTAAACGTAGCACATGTCTGTGCTTAGATAATATAGAAAAGCATAAGATGGAGAGACAGATATGGGAAATCCTAATTTCTCACAGTTAAATCCTGACTCAGCAATGGGTGAGCAGTTACAGAAATACAGAAACTAAACTTCTTCACTGTTGGTCCTTCCATCCCACGTCCCTTTCATCACACATCCCTGAGCCATTGTTTCATTACAATCACAGTGGAGGTTGTGAATGATGTACCTGGTTTGCCCAATGTGCCAGCTGTGTTTATGCTGCAGTGAAGCAGGTAATAGATGCAAAGTAGGAAGGAATACACCCTTTATGACCTTATTGAGACCAATGTCACAATACCATCTAGAATCTGCATGTCCCTCTATGTGATTTTAGCCTGGTGTCTTGAATGACCATAAATGGAAGGTAGGCATATGCTCCAAACTGAGCACCTGCCACTTCACTGCTTCCCTCAAAATGTAACCCTCTAGCCCATGTTTATATGGGGAAATTGTTTGAGGTAATGTAAACATGACACCAGTTTTCCTTCAGGGTTTGATGGATCAATTCTTTCCAAGTGACGCTTTGTATTTCAAAATGAGAATCTTTGTCCTATAGGGCCTGATCCAAAGCTCATTGAAGTCACTGGAAAGACTCACACTAACTTCAGCGGGCTCTGGATCAGGCCCATACTGCAGGGGTTGTTATGGCACTGACACAATATTCAGCAAAACATTTTGTTATAGCAGGATATCCTCACACTTTGACTGTGTTGTACCTGAGGTATGGAGCCAAAGGCTTTTTACTTTTTAATCATTACAGCGATGCAGGAGTCTGGTGTTGAAGGAGCCAAAATGAAGCCTTATATTTGCTGGAGGTTAAGTCTTGAAGCTAGTTGGTGGGAAACCCAGGGACCTGGCCTTTGCAAACTGTTGAAAAATAACTGTGATCTGGGGTTTCTTTCAATGATGTCTGTTTTCCACCTAGGAGCTAGGAAGTCCATGTTCAGCCTGTGACATTCCCCATAGTTTGCCTTGCTTTACACAGTATTATTATCACTTAACGTTTATATTGTGATAGAGCCTAAAGGCCTCAACCAGGTTGGGACCCCATTGTGCAAGGCACAGTACAAATATATAATAAATGACAGCTCCTGCCCAGAATTGCTTGCAGTCTAAAAGACAAGCCATAAGAGGTGGATGGGACAAACAGGAGGGCAGGGTGGTGGCGGGGGAGACAAGATGACAAAATGATTTTGAGTCCCGCCAGCTTCTTGTTAACTCCCATGGCCCCTCAATATCCTTGAGGAAGGGGGAAGTTGGGAAAATAGGAGCACTGATATTTGCCCTCTGGCAAAATCTGAAAATATACTGGATTTGACATATCCAGAGCTGTGGGTAGGAGAAGTAAGCAGTTTTATCCTTAGTTACAACTTAGAAAACTGAAGACCAAAAAAGCTAAGGCCTGACTTTTCAAATATGGATGCCCAACTTTTACTATAAATTTCTGCTAAAGGAAATTAAAGAAACATCTTTTAAAAAGACAATGATCCTAAAAATTATTTGTCAAATCCTCATCCTATGAGGAAATATTGCTCATGACACTACTAACTTTTAAAAACCAAGAAATGTATTTAAAGTCCAGTCTTGCACTACTTGGGCAATCCCCCCATTGTCTTCATTCATAACTCCCACTGGTTTTGGAGTGGGGAGGAGTTATTTGTTATGGGCCAATGTTGACACAAGAACAAACGGATATAAACCGACCATCAACAAGTTTAGACTTGAAATTAGTTGAAGGTTTCTAACCATCAGAGGAATGAAGTTCTGGAACAGCCTCCCTAGGAGAGCAGTGGAGGCAAAAAAACCTAGTAGTCTTCATGACTGAGCTTGATAAGTTTATGGAGGGGGGTGGCATGATGAGACAGCCTACAATGGCATGTGGCCCATCTGCGACTGCTAGTAGCAAGGAGCCCCAGCGGCTGGAGACAGGAGACTAGATAGGGAGGGCTCTGAGTCACTACAGAGAATTCTTTACCAGGTGTCTAGCTGGTGGGTCTTGCTCACATGCTCAGGGTCTAACTGATCGCCATATTTGGGGTCAGGAAGAATTTTTCCCCAGGACAGATTGGCAAAGACTCTGCGTGCTTGTTGCCTTCCTCTGCAGTATGGAGCATAGGTCACTTGCTGGTTTGAACTAAAGTAAATGGTGGATTCTCTTTAACTTGAAGTCTTTAAATCATTATTTGAGATCTTCAGTAACTCAGCCAGAGGTTATGGTTCTACTACAGGAGGGGGTAAGTGAGATTCTGTGGCCTGCAATGTGTAGGTCATACTAGATGATCACAGTGGTACCTTCTGGCCTTAAAGTCTATGAGCCTATGAGTAAGCAGAAAACAAGATTTAGAAAATTGTTAAAGAAAGCCACATCACTGATGGTGACCTTTAAACATAGCTGGAGTAAATTTTTTCTCTTTTCTTCGCAATGCAAGTGTAGGCCTGCAAAGCAGTTGATTTACTTGTGTTTACAGTATAATTACACCGTAACATGAAGAAATTAAATGGTAGGATGAAATCCTCAAAAGCACTTTAAAAAGATGTTAACAAGAAATAAACAAATTTTAGGAATATATAAAAGGAAATAGGTTTTCAGACTAGAAAATGCGTCAGAAAACTCCTGAGTTTATAGGGATATTTTAAAAAGTAGAGCAGGGTGTGAACTCAGAATCTGAGGGTTCAGAGGGTCAGATTCTGATAACCTTATTTGGAGCAGCTCCTTACTCCAATGTAACTACTCATGGAGAAAGGTGCTACTCAACACAAGTAACTCTGGCCCTTAGACTATATACTTTTGAGGCCTGGAACTGTGTTGTCCTCTATGTTTGTACAGCACCTAGTACCGTGGGGGCACTAATCCTGATTGGAGCCTCTAAGCACTACTGCAGTACAACTAATGCATAAAATAAGCATAACAAAGGTATTTAGCTTTCAATTTTTTAATTATACCAGCGAAGAAATTAGGTGCCGTGATTATGTGACTGATTTCAGTAGGTCTTTCACACTCCTGAGCTTGCTTCCATAGCAAATTGGAGAAATTAAGGTCACACTTCATATTAAGGATGTGTTTCTAAAATTTTAAGAAATTATATCTCTTTTAATAAACGGTTAATGAATTGTTATAGAGTGTTATGAAGTGTAACTGCAAATAAACATTTACAAGCACCAAAAAATAGCTGCTCTGTACAGATACCAACCATTCTTTATTAACGCCTAACCCCCCAACTTCATCTGCTGCCCAGAAACCTGTTGTACACTAGAACTGGCATTCATTTGGCTTTCCTGCTGCTTCCCATTAAGAATTTGAACTGCCCCATTGGATAGCATGTTATCAGCAAATCTCTTCATGTTGACTCCCTCCACACTCAAAACACCAAGCTGCTGCTTTCACTTAATGCTCTTGTGTGATTTTATTTCACCTCATTATCCACTTTCTTCCTTATTCAGTACCATTCATCCTCTCTTTCCTCATAGACTTCAGACCTGGCAGAAGTTCCTGAGGAAGCGGATGGTTCAGGAAGCATGTTTGATATAAACAGGAAACGCAGCAACAGTGGTGAGTTCTGTACCATCTAGTATTTTCAGATGCACAAAAATATTCTTCTAAATGAGTGGTGTAATTATTCCACTACCTTGGCCCACACAAGTGGAATCCATGAGGGATGAATTTGGCCCAATGTTGACTTTTCTGATGTCCTCAAGGGAGTTTATTGAGTTGGGGGAGAGTTTTGGCCAAGGGGTTGGGAACAGGAGTCTGGGAAGGTCTCTTGACCAGTGTTGCATATTTACTTGGCTCCTAATGGTCTATGGGGACTGATTTTCCATACCCACTATGACCAGATTTAGGTGACAGTGGACAGGCACTCAGCACATTTGGGCTCAGTCCCTGCCTCTGGCACAGACTTCCTGTGTGTTTGTGAGACCTTAGGCTGGTCATTTAATGTCAGTGCGCCTCAATTCCCTACCTGTAAAATGGGGGTGATAATACTTCCTCTCCTCCCACCCTTTTGTCTGTCTTGTCTACTTAGACTATCAGGGCAGAGACAGTCTGCTACATGGGGGGAGGGATAGCTCAGTGGTTTGAGCATTGGCCTGCTAAACCCAGGGTTATGAGTTCAATCCTTGAGGGGGCCACTTAGGGATCTGGGGCAAAATCAGTACTTGGTCCTGCTAGTGAAGGCAGGGGACTGGACTTGATGACCTTTCAAGGTCCCTTCCAGTTCTAGGAGATAGGATAGGATGTGTTCCATACCAAGCTCAGAACAATGGGTGTTGGTCTCAGTTGTGGCCTTTTGGTGCTACTGTAGTACAAATCATAAATAACACTAATAGTCCAAACCTTTTGTCCTCTTTTGGCATCTGAATGTAATGTTCTTGTACTGTTGTAATTGTTATGAGGTAACTCCATCACTGGCAGCCCAGTGATGAAGACTTTTGTGAGTGCAGTGAGGGAGCCTTAGCCAGGAGCTTGGAACACTGAGTAGCGAAATTGCAGTGTCCATTGGGCTCCAGTTCAGTCCTGGCAATAGAAGGATTGTGTGTAGAAAGAACTTTGGGGCACCCAATAAACCTCTAAGCTAGGAGTGGAGTTGTTGTTGCACCGAGGCTCACCAATACCACCAAGAAGCGTTAGTATTCCCAAACTTCAGGCAGGGGCAGACAGGTCGGATCTGAGGCAAACACAAGCCATAGTGAATGGACCTCCCTTCTTTGAACCCCAACATCCACCTCCTCCACAGTGCAGATCCCCATTGGTCTTGGCATATGGCTAGTAATTTTTATAGTGGTCAGGTGTTAACTGTAGTTGTCTTTTCCCACCCCCACCCCCCATTTTACCTCCTTCCCAGACTCCTCCCTGCTCCTCATTCTGACCTTTTCATTTCACATATCTGTTTTCAGTCCTTTTCCTCCCTCTCAGCATGTGGCCCACCCATCAGTGGCACTGACTGATGGATGGGCTACATGCTGAGAGGGGATTTTCAACTTCATTTGAGCACTTGGAACTGTAACTCAACCTGGCCAGAGGTAAAGCATCCGGTCAACCTGAGTTTCATTTTTCCCCTGAGGTTTTCAGATCGTTTTTTTTTTTTTTTCATCACTTACCTCCTTTTTTTTTGAGCCAGTAAGAAACTTTTCTATGGGATCTGCATGACTTAGAGGCATCAAGAAACTTGCTCAAAGAGATCAGTTTAAAGAACTCAGCATGTGCCAAACCTCCAAATAACTTCCTCAGCACATTAATGATTCCTTTGATCGGCATTGGCTTTCTTTTTCGATCCATCCTTCAGAGGCCTAGTGTATAAATTATGCAGCAATTGCTCCAAATATTTCCTCTTGGTAGATTTTAATAAACTGCCTGTGTTGTTTGTACTAATGATGGAAATGCTAAGACCCTTTTCATGCTGTCAGAGTTCCCACATGGTTTTCCTGCCGCTGCAAGGGCAAACAGATGGATTTCTGGTTTGTGTAGAGATGAACCCCGTACTTGCTATGACCTTTACTTTTACATGTCTCCCAGTAATATTCAGAGAGCATGAGCTAAACAGAGATTAAAAGTTTAATGAACTCATTTAAAAATATTCTTGGGGCGTTATTCACCATTGCATTGCTCCAGCTTTACACGGGATAACTCTGGTGATTCTAAATGGTGTTACTACACCATAAAGCTAGAGTAACACAGCAATGAATCAGGCCCCTGGTGTTTTATTTTTCCCAGAGAAACCTGACTTCCTCAAGGAATGTTTAGAAAAATGCAGATTTGTGTCTGTTTATGCAATAGGGAAACAGCAAGAGGAACACAGTATGGAGAAGTCTAGGAGGCACAACAAACAGAGGCTGGTTTATACATGTCAATAGGATTGAGATAATTTCAAGGGGAAATTAATTCTCTACAGTGCTAAAGCACAGACAATATCAAATGTGCTTAGTTTACAAATAAAAAGATGACTTTTCCAACTGCCAACTCTGTAAACTCACCCTGGTCTCCACCAATCAATTGGGCTCATTACTTTGCATGCATTGTTACCAGTAATAAAAGTTCTGCAGGTCAAATTATTCTGTAAAAGACATCTGTTCAGTCCCATTGTCATCAGTGAGTTTGCGTAGATATAACTGATTCAGGTATAGGAAACAATCTCCATGTAGGAACACACTTAGTATTCAGTTCTGTCAACGCACCAGGAATAGAACCCAGCTCACGCACTCAGTTGATTCTGCATTGCTAACCAGAGTAAAAAATAGTAGTAAGATTTTATTTTTGTCAATGGAGAAATCAGAAATTACCCTGAATACACAGAGGTAGCCAATCTGATGAACAAGAAGGTTACATTTAGATAATCTACTTTTCAGGTCAGAAATGCACTCTAAAATTTTATAAAGCCTTTTCACGTTATGAATGGTGTAAGTCTAGCTAGATATTACCTCACTCGTCTTTTCTGTTATTGGGCCAGCTTCTGTTGGTGGCAGAGACAAGCTTTTGAACTTACACAGAGCTCTTCCCCAGAACTGAAGAGCTCTGCGTGAGCTCGAAAGCTTGTCTCTCTCACCAACAGAAGTTGGCCCAATAACAGATATTAGCTTACTGAGCTTGTCTCGCTACACCACTGGGGAAGCAGAGAGCGATTCAGCGGGAGTGCACTGGCTTCTTGGCTTTTATTATTCTGAAAGTATGAAACTAAATCACAGAGAAGGGAGACAACAATACACAGAACAACCACTAATAACTGGCTCAGACTGCTTTTGGAGACTTCTGACTTATTTCTTATTTTTCTAACAACAAATGTAAGCCAATGCTGGGACTAAACTTTTCTAAAAGTGATTTAGGCCCAGAACAGTTGATGGCTTCCATCTACTAAAATCATGGCTGGGCTTTGTCCAAAAGTAGGGGACACTATTCTCTACAAATTAGGAAACTGTTCTTAGAGAGTGAAGAAGGAACATAATGTAATAAAGCAATTGATGTTAGCAGGGAAGGCACCTGAAGCAATGGTGTATAAATCAGCTAATGAAACAATTACAGTAGATTAAGCTAAATTCTGATACCCTTATTAATCCTGAGTGGGACCTTACTTCTTGAGTAGACTCATTGATTTCAATGGAGTTACCTACAAAGTGAGGTGTTACTCAGTGTGAGTAAGGCTGCCAGAATCTCATTGCCTGGGAGTCAAGAGACCTGGGCTCTATTCCCAACTCCGCCACTGACCTGCTGCATGACCTTGGGAATTTCTCCTGTTTCCCTTCCCACCTTTTGTTTTATGTGTTCTGGTTGTTAATTCTTCAAGCAGGGACTGTCTTGTGCTACTTATTTGTACAGTAATTAGCACAATGGGGTGCCAGACTTGGTTGGGGCCTATCAGTGCTACTGCAATACAAATGCCTGATTAACAAAAGAAGAACATTACTGAGAGCGGTAGGGAACAGTTAGAAAGGAAGGATTAGGAGAGAGAGATATAAGGTGGGCCTCGGGAGGTGAATGGCCTTCAGCTGTCCCTAAAATGTCATGTGTTGTGTTTTATTTCAGTGTTTACCTACTCAGAAAATGGAACAGAAGACTTCGGAGAAGAATCAAAAAGGATAAACTCCCTGGTATGGGCAAAGATTTAGTGAGCATATAGTGAAAATGTTAATTGATTTAAGAGGTTTGTTTTTACAGAAGCACACTTGGGTGAGCATTATAAATTGGCCTGGTGAACACAAACATTATGATAGGTGAGCCAGAGCGATGTGAATGGAGCAGTCTTACAGCTGTGACAGCATAAAAATGACACTGCACAATCCAGAGTCTGACATAATTTGAAAAGGATCTTGGTCTTTTTGCAGTTTCTTTTGGTCAAATTGTCCCTGGCCCTTGCGTGAGGGCATATATGGAGAGAGGGGATGCAAGGAGTGGTCTCCCTCATTGAGCACACTGTGCAAACGTTCCTGAGGTGGGAAAGTGCCCAATCCTTCCTTGAGCTCTGGCTTTCATGGTTATGCACCACCCTCCTCAGCACTGTGGATGACCAGCACAGGCTAGCTCTTTGTAATTTATACCCATCATATAAAAAAGGTGACTTTAACAGAGGGCTAGATGTTGGCGGGGAAGGGGGATGGAGAGGAGACATGGAAAATTACAGTAGTGCCATAGGAGCAATAACAAGGAAACCAGTGGAGGAATCTGCTCAATGTTTTAGATGTCTATTCACAAATGCAAGGAGTATGGGGAATAAACAGAAAGAACTGAAAGTATTAGTCTGGAAACTAGATTATGGCTTAAGGAAGGACAGGCAGGATCAAAAAGAAGGAAGTGTTGCATTATACATCAAGAATATATACACCTGTTCTAAAGTCTAGGAGGAGGTAAGAGACAGGCCAGTTGAAAGTGTCTGGGTAGAGATCAAAAGGGTAAAAAAATGGGGGTGACATCATGGTAGGGGTCTATTATAGACCACCAAATCAGGACAAGGAGGTGAATGAAGCATTTCAAGAACAAATAACAGAAATATCTAAAACAAAAGACCTGTTACTGATGGGGGGACTTTACCCAGACATCTGTTAGAAAAGTAAGATGGCAAAACACAAATTTTCCAATAAGTGCTTGGACTGTATTGAGGACAACTTTTTGTTTCAAAAAATGGAGGAAGGAACCAGGAGGACAGCCATTTTAGATTTGATTCTGACCAACAGGGAGGAATTGGTAGTGAATCTGAAGCAGGAAGGCAATTTGGGTGAAAGTGACCATAAAATTATAGATTTCATGATTCTAAGGAAAGGAAGGAATGGGAGCAGCAGAATAGGGGCAATGGACTTCAAAAAAGCAGATGTTAGGCTCAGAGAACTGATAGATTCTCTTCCCATAGGACCTTATCTAAGGGGAAAAGGAGTTCAGGAGGGCTGACAGTTTCTCAAGGAGACAGTATTAAAGGCACAATAGTAAACTACCCTGATGCAAAGGAAAGATAAGAAGAATAGTAAGAGGCCAATATGACTCCATCAGGAGTTCCTTAATGACCTGAAAATCAAAAAGGAATGCTACAAAAAGCGGAAATATGGGCAAATTGCTAAGGACGAGTATAAAAGAACAGCACACGTAGGTAGGGACAAAAGCAGAGGGACTAAGGCACAAAATGAGTTATACTTAACAAGGAACATAAAAGGGAATGAGAAGAGGTTCTTTAATACATTAAAAAGAAAAGCATAGGTACTATACTTAGAAGGGAAGTGGAGCTAATAACTGATGATATTAAGAAGGCGGTGGTGTTTAATGCCTATTTTTCTTCAGTCTTCACTAAAAAGGCTAATGGTGACCAGCTACGTAATACAATTAATATGAACAACAAGGGGGGAAGGAACACAAGCCAAAAAGTACAAGTTAAAGAATATTTAGATTATTCAAGTCAGCAAGATGTGATGAAATTCACCCTAGAGTACTTAAGGAACTAGCTGAAGCAATCTGAGAACTATTTCCAATTACATTCAAGAATTCACGGAGGACAGGTGAGTTCCTAGAGGGCTGGAGAATGGCAAATATAGTACCTATCTTTAAAAATGGGAACAAAGAGGACCCCAGGAATTATAGACCAGTCAGTCTAACTTTAATACCTGGAAAGATACTGGAACAAATTATTAAATAAGCAATAGAGGTTAATAGGGTTATAAGGGGCAACCAGCATGGATTTGTCAAGAACAAATCATGCCAAACCAACCTAACTTCCTTCTTTGACAGGATCCCTGTCCTAATGGATAGAAAGAAAGCAATAGATATGCTATATCTTGATTTTAGTAAGGCTGTTGACACAGTCCCACATGACATTCTCATAACTAGGGAAATGCGATCTAGATGAATTTACAATAAGGTGGGGGCACCACTGGTTGAAAAACAGTATTCAAATAGTAGTTATAAATCATTCACTGTCACACTGGGAGGGTGTATCTAGTGGTTTCATTAATAACTTAGATAATGGAGTAGATAATTTGTTTATAAAATTTGTAGATGACACCAAGCTGGGAGGGGTTGCAGGCACTTTGGAGGGCAAGATTAAAATTCAAAGGGACCTTGACAAAATGTAGAATTGGTCTGAATTCAACAAGATAAAATTCAGTAAAGATAAGGGCAAAGTACTTCATTTAGGAAGGAAAAATCAAATCCATAACTACAAAATGGGAAATATCTGGCTAAGTGGTAGTACTGGCGTAAAGGATCTGAGGGTTACAGTGGATCACAGCTTGAATACGAGTCAATGATGTGCTACAGTTGCAAAACAGGCTGATATTTTCAGGGTGTAAGAACAGGAGTGTTGTATGTAAGACACAAGAGGTAATTGTCCTGCTTTACTGAGCACTGGTGAGGCCAGAGCTGAGTACTGTGTCTAGTGCTGGGCACAACAAAGATCTGGACAAATTGGAGAGAATTCAGAGGAGAGTAACAAAAATCATAAAAGTACAGAAAACCTGACCTATGAGGAAAGATTAAAAAACGGGGGATGTTTAGTCTTGAGAAAAGAAAAAGAAAACTGATGGGGGCCCTGATAGTAGTCTTCAAATATGTTAAGGGCTGTTATAAAGAGGACTCTGATCAATTGTTCTCCATGTTTATTTAAGCCCATTACTTCCTTCATCTGAAGCATGGGAGCTTTAGGCTAACTATTTGGAAAAGCTTCCTATTCTTCCAAGGGGGTTGTGGAATCCCCATCATTGGAGGTTTTTGAGAACAGGTTTGATAAACACCTGTGAGGGATGGGTCTAGGTTTACTTGGTCCTGCCTCAGCGCAGAGGGCTGGACTTGATAACTTCTTGAGGTCCCTTCTAGTCCTACATTTTTATGATTCTATATGACAGTAATAAACTGCAAGGCACATATCATGCAGCCTTTAGCATATAGCAAAGAGCATGGGTTTTTTTTAAGATCTCACCCAAAATATGCACAAAGCACTCTTTATCTGCTTCTGGAGGATGAAAAGTTGAGTCAGCTCTGACAGAACTTGAACCTGTGGTTCTAGAGGGTCTAATTGTTGCAAACTTCAGAAGTCATGTTTATCCCCTAATACCCTCTTAAAACTTAAACATTTCTTTGATTTAGAGCCAACTCTGCATCTTGTCCCTATGTGTGTAATGGGATGAACCAAAATCTTGGATTGAAAGGCCCCAGAGTTCAATAAAGTTCAGATCTGGAGCCAAATATTACATCTCAGACCCATCTCTATCGAGGGCATGGCAATTCTAGCAGCCAGAAACTTACAGGTTTTCTTATCTGTTTTTCCCCCCCTTAAAGGGACCTCTTTATAAAGACACATTACAAATGCACACCTACGTTGCCTTGTACAAATTTGTACCACAAGAGAATGAAGACTTGGAGATGAGGTAAAGTGCTGACATATTTACTTATTGATTTGACCCAAGAAAACTGAGAATGGTGCAGACTTAAATTAGTGTTGTACTTTTAATTCTAATTTTGCTATGCATATTTGTATTATATTATTTATATAAACATGGTCTCACAGCTATTTAATTATGTATTCTTTCCCTCTTTCCACTTATGAAAATGCTACAGAGTTGAGGACAAGTTTTTTACAAAGAAAATAATGGTTAAAACTTTCAAGTCAAGTCCAGTGTGTTGGGCGCTTTTGATAATTATGCTCTAAGTCCCATTCAGTGACTTTCAGTGAGACTTAGGTTCCTAAGTGCTGACGTCTCTTTTGGGATGGTTGACAATTTTTTAACAGAAAATTGGATTTTCAGCTAAATACATATTTTTGCAGCATCTGCTTTCCCTGAAATTTTAGATTTTTTTTTAATCAGAAAACGACAAACTTTGTTTTGTTTTGGCCAAAAATAATTCAATTTTCAGCAACCAAAAAAACTGAAAAAATATCAGGTTTTAAATTTGGGGGGTTTTGACAAAAAAATTTCCACAGGAAAAAGAATCCCATTTTCTAACCAGATCTAGTGACAAGGTCGGAACTTCTAAGTGTTATATAACTGATTGCTCCCTCCCCTCCTACCCTCCCCCACCCAGCGATTTTGTCTCAGAAAAGGGGAATGAGGAGGCTCTCAAGGTGGTGAATGGCTGCTAGTGTGTTTTCATGTACAATATATGGAAGGTTGGTTTGAACTGCAAAATCTTCTGGTTCAAATATCTTTTCTTTAGCACTTTTTCATGTAACCCTGCACTAGTGCTGCCTTGTCCAGTCTAACAGGGCCTGTCCAAAGCCCCACTGAAGTCAAAGGGAATTTTTCCATTGACTACCCTGGGCTTTGACAGAGGCCCACAGTGAGTAGTTTGTTGCAGAGACTTTAATAGGCTCTAGGAGTGCTGGCTGCTTTGGGCACAGTTCACAAAACAAATCATCTCTCTTCATGATTTACCCAAGGTCAAACCAGTCAGATGCTGACTCCAATAAAATATATGTAACCCTTCTGCCCATAAGAGTTGGCAGCAACAAGGGCCGGGTTCAGTATCTAGGGGTTCCGTTTCAATAACACAATGCAAAACCGGCTCGAACCCCCACCCAGTGACCTGGGACAATTACATACCACCCCCCGGGTGCCTCTAAGAGGCAATACTTCCCCTCTTGCAAGCACAGAGGCTGAGCGTAGCAAAAGCCTTTTCATAAAGGAGGAAAACAATGCGGCATTATGTTGGGGAAACACCACAAACAGGATTGATAACACAAACCATGAGCAAAAGACCTGCTCCCAAGTAAGTTTGGCAGTGTCCTTTTCCCCTCAGGGTCTTAAGTCCAGCAACCCAACAGTCACCCCACCCACAGTTTCTGTGCTTGGTCAGTGCAGCCTCCCAGAGTTCAGAAGTTCATCTGCAGAGTTTATCTCCCAGCCTGGGTGGAAGTGGGGGAAAGGTATGGGGGCATCTTACATGCTCCGCTGCTCGGGTTGATTGCCGATTGCCACGTCTCTCCCTGGGGTTCTGCTACAGTCTTCACTGCCAGCTGTGCCTCTCCACCAACCATCCTGCTAGCCGCTCCTCTCTGCTAGCCATCCTGCTAGCCACTCACCAACTTGTCTTCAGGCCCCCCTCTACTTAACACAGCTCTTAGTGATTTCAGCTCTTAGTAACTTCAGCTCTTTAGTGTTTTTCAGCTCTCGATGATTTCTGCTGTTAGTAGGAGGAGCCTCAGTGTGGCACACTCAGAACCACTAGTCCAAAGTAGGTCTAATGCTTAGACCTAGGAATTAGTGATTACAGCTCTGCAGCACCTAACAAGACTCCTAACTGAGTCAAAATTAACTCTATTATTACACCATGGCAGGGGGTGTCAAAGTGGTGTTTGCAGCCCCACACTACTAGATACATATGCCTGTCCCCAGCATTTCTCAATTCACTGGGCTTTGGAACCCATGTCCCTTGCCTAGCAAGTGCTACTTAGTTGAGGGTGAGTCCCTCCATCATAAAATGCCAAGTACAGTTCTACTGTCCTTGATTCACATAACCAGGATAACAACACTTTATTACTCCTGCCCCAATAACAAAGAGACTGGGGATTCCACAGCACCAAAATGACCATTTGGGCAAGCAGTCCATCATGCTAGGCGGGGCGGGGGATGTGCCCATGCAAACGAGATCAGCCCCTGAAGTCCTTTTCCACAGCTCACCACCAGATGTCAGGGTAGAGCTCATTCTGACTCTGCTTACATATGCTTACAAAGTCACTCAAGAAAAGTCCCACTCTTCAGCATCTTTCTATTTCCCAGTTTTCAACTGTGCCCTCTCCTTGCTCAAGATAGAGCTACCATTTTGCATGGCTGGCATTTTTCCATGACTGCTTTGTTTCAGGTGTGATAACTGGATAGAAAATAGCCACATGCAGGATGACATTTGCTAGGAATCCAGAGCCCCTATGTCTAAATGCTCTGCATGTTGGACTCTCATTTTGCATTATTGATTTATTTTGGTTTATGCAATCACTCATTCGATTAAAAAGGAGCACCATCTTAAAATGTAATGTAACCATGCTTCCCAAGGATGTCTAATAACCCAGCAGCTGACCCACGTACTCATCCCCTGCCAGAGTCCTCCCACACCCTTACAACAAGGTATAAAAATGTGCCTTGCAGTCCGTCCTGATGGTTGATAAACGAGGACTGCTATGGATTGACTTGCCTTCTCAGTTGAGATGCCAGCTAAGTTTTCGATTAGTGCCACTTGTTATGGTGGTAGATTTTTGTGTGTGGCCCAAAGCCACCACAATGAAGAGCATCAAATAGTCACCAGATAGCAATGCTGTTTGGTCGCTACTGACCTGGGCTGGATTCACACTGGTCACTACGGGTTAGATTTTTGTCTAAACCAATGGGAGTAAGACACCTAGGTGGTTTTGAAAATTCCACTAGGCACCTGTGTGAATCTTTAGATGCCTAAATACCTTTTGAAAGATGGCCCAAAGCACTTTAAAATCGTTGGCAAGCATTATTATCCCCATTTGATAAAGGGGAAAACAGAGACAGAGGCTAGGTCTACACTACCCGCCTGAATCGGCGAGTAGAAATCGATCTCTCGGGGATCGAATTATCGCGTCTTGTCGGGACGCGACAATCGATCCCCGAATCGACGCGCTTACTCCACCAGCGGAGGTAGGAGTAAGTGCCGTCGACGGGGAGCCGCGGAGGTCGATTTTGCTGCTGTCCTCACAGCGGGGTAAGTCAGCTCCGATACGTCGAATTCAGCTACGCTATTCGCGTAGCTGAATTTGCGTATCTTAAATCGACCCCCCCCGTAGTGAAGACCTGCCCAGAGAAAATAAAGACTCAGTCCCTTGACTTTAATGGGAGTGGGTCTGGCTTTTAAGTGGCGTAGCTAGGAATCAAACCCAGGTCTGATGTGCCGTCACTGGTGCACGCTGTCCAATCAGTTCCTGACATGTTCCAAGAAGACTGGAAGCTTTATAGTTCTGTGATGTCATCACTCTTGTACAAGGAGTTCAAGATAGGATGTGGGGAAAGCTGGAGAAATTAGGGTTCAGCTATTGCCCATTAATTTCAGTGAATTCAGAACCCCCATTGCCCCAAGGAAAGGCTCACACCCAGCAGAACAGAATTCTTGGAGCCGGTCACATTGGGAAGTGGGCAGAACTTACTTCCAACAGCACAGTGTGTCATGTTTGTGTAACAATTTGATGCAGCACCAAAGTGGGTCTTCAGATATCTGCTGCACTAATGCTGCAATATTAGGGATGAGCCCAGCAGACTCAAATATGGCAAGTTGGAGTAGGCTAATATTTCTGGCCAAATTATTCTCCCAGCCTGAGGCTGTAACTAGTCAGCTGCCTTCTGATACTCAGCAATTACAGCATGACTCCACACATTATAAAGGTAAATACGTCCCATTTGAATCAAAAATACATTTCTGTGTAGAATTACATCCCTGCTGATTAATTATATTTGTCAGTTAAATAAAACTGTTTTCCTGCTGCCTTCCTTTAGCAGTAACAGCACGAGAACCTGGCTGATAAGATTCTGTGTCCCAACAATATTTAATGCCTTCATGTAACATGGTGATCCCTGTTACAAATAGGTATTTCTAAGCAGTTTCAGACTAAATTGGAAGCAAAGTACATCACATAGGATTTGCCATCTTACAACAAAGGTCTTTCTATAAAAAGGAGGGGAGGAGATTGTGTATTCTAAACTGGGATGTCAGGTTCTAATTGCTGAGGTACGGGGAAATTTGGTTTAATATATCACCCACCACTTTCACAGCCCTTTATTGCTCCTGTTGAATTCAGCAGCAAAACTGAATGGGAGTAGGGCCCAGGCTCTGTGTGGATCAAACCTTAGGGCCATATTGGGCCAAACCTTAGGGCCCTAGAATGGATGACGTTGGGGGAGGGTTAAAGGCGCCTTCTCTCTGCCAAGTGCCTGCATTAGCCAGGCACAATAGTAGTCCTTCCACTCTAGGGAGCACAGGATCACATCAAAGCGGATGGGGAAAAATGGGGGTCATGGCCATGTGCCCCTCAACTTCCACCTAATGCAACCCTCACCAGTCCGTGGCTCACCGGCCAGAACACAGAAAGGAGAAGACTGTCCCATTCTATAGAATGATGTCACATGCACTCTCCCCTTCCATGTGTCAGGTTGCTGGGCCAGAGATTATGCTTGTGAGGCAAAAATCCCTCAGTGTGTTCACCCTGGTATTGTACCTGCCAAACTGCCTCTAACATGAGCCAGTGCCAAGAACACAGGGCCAAATTCTCAGCTGGTATTTATTGGCACAGCACCACTGACTTCATTCTGTCCCCACTCAGCTGCAGGTAAAAAATGTTACAGCTTGTGGGAGTATCAGCAGAGCCATGCGGGACCTGATAGCTCTACCTTGGCATCAAAATGCACAGGAGAATTCAACGGGACAAATTTTGCACCCAGTTACAATGGTCCAACTACGTTGGCATCACTGAGCTTTGCACTTGTATAACTGAGAGCAGAGTTTGACCCTCTCTCACCTGGCAGATGGAGATTTTGCTTCTGTACTCGTATCTGACTTAGGAAGTTCTCATTGCTTCATGGATCCACATGTAGTGATTAATGAGATATAACGATCAAGGCTGGGTTACCCTTCTAAGAGAATTTCACTATGAATGCTGATATGCTGTTGCAATTAAGACACATCTTAATCGAAATTCCCGACATCTGTCCTTTCTAATTATAGACCAGGTGATATGATCACACTGCTGGAGGATTCTAATGAAGACTGGTGGAAGGTATGTGCCAAATACTCTATATCCTTTAACAAAATAAATTAATGGTATTTATAATGAGTATGAAGGTTATTCTTCTGTCAATGTGCTTGCTCTGCAGGGGAGAATTGAGGACAGAATAGGATTTTTTCCCGCTAATTTTGTTCAGAGAGTGCAACAAGACGAAAAGATTTTCAAGTGCGTCAGAACATTTATCGGATGCAAGGAGCAAGGACAGATTACTCTGAAAGAGAACCAAGTAAGTGAAGTACACCATTTACTGTACATTAAGGACACAGTTTGCGTCTGACGAAGTGGGTATTCACCCACGAAAGCTTATGCTCCAATACATCTGTTAGTCTTAAAGGTGCCACAGGACTCTTTGTTGCTTTTTACAGATCCAGACTAACACGGCTACCCCTCTGATACTAGTGTATCCAGTAATCTGCTTGATTTCATTAGAAGTTTTGGGTGTGCAAAGAAACCATGAGCAGACTTTCACAGCACACAGAATTTTTTTCAGTAAATATTTATATTGTGGTAATACCTAGTCCCCAGTCAGGATCATGGCCTCATTGTATGTACACTAGAGCTGTGTAAGAAACTGTTTTTTCATCCCCTGATAGTTTTCAAGATTTTAAAATTTCTTCATATGCCAACTCAGGCTGAAAAATCAAAATATCAAAAATTTTCATGAACATATCTGAAAAAAAATTCAGATCAGGCCAATCTAAATGTTTCTTTTCAACAATTTTGATACATTTCATTTCTATTGGCCTTTTAAAACCTTTATTTAATATAAACTAACTCAAATTTCAAAACAAAGTCATTTTGAACCAGAAAATGAAACTTTTTGTTTTGAAAATTTCAAAACAAGATTTTTCAACCTTTTATACACTTTGTTTTTTTAAAAAAAATCAGGATATTCGTGAAAACCAACCCTTTCCTGCAAACAGTTTTGATTTTGACAAATCAACATTTTCCACGGAAAAAATGTTTTGTCAGAAAATTCTGACCAGCTGTACCAAACACTGGGAAGACAGATTGTGCCTCAAAGAGTTTATGGTCTAAATCCTCAATCCCACAAAGATTTATGGACATGGTTAATTTTACAGACTGTGAATTGTCCTAGTGACTTCAGATGGGACAACAAACAATGCATAAAGTTAAGCACATATGTAAGTTTGTTGCAGAACTGGGGCTTAATTTAAGACAAGACTCAACAAATGTGTTTAACAGACAATAAGAGGGAGGGGGAGGTTGAGGGTAATAGTGACGGGAATGCTGATACATGGGGCAATATGTGAACAACTAGAGGCATCCAAATAATTCAGGATGGGATTTTCAAAACTGCTTTGCATTGGGCCTGACCTTGCTCCCACCGATGCCAATTCCCAAAGGCTTGACTTCAAAGGGAGCAGTTAAGATAACACCATCCTTAGATATCTTTTCATTATCATTTTTAAATGCCTTATCATTCCATAACTCCTTGTTCCTCCCTTTCCCTCTCATTCCTACACACTGATTTTTTTAAAAACACCCCTGTATAATATTTTTTTCACTGAACTCACACAATCTATTCACTCTGAAGGTCTTTGATCAAATCCTCCTCTTTAATATTGTTTTTAAATGTGCACACAAAATGATGGGCATATCTTTCATCTGGGGATACGCCTTTGGTGTGTTCTTATTTCAAATTTGATTTTGTAACTACTTTTCCTGAATACTGAATGGATCCAATTGAAGTCAGTGGAGGGCTTCTATGGGATTGCACTGGCATAAATGAAAGCAGAATTTGGCCCATTCTACATTAAAAGAACATCAACACTGTGACAAACACAGTAACATAACTAAGGAAACGAACAACTAAGGGAAAAAATATAGCTTAGGATCTCTGATACAAAGGGACATCAGCTTGAAATCTTTCTCAGTACATCCTGATAGAGCTAATTATTTTCCCCTCTTCATGGGGCTTTTTCTTTCCTTTGGAGATTTGCATCACATCTCATATCCCTAGGGGCCAAATTCTGTGCTAACTTGCACTCTCTGCAATGCAACTGACCTTAATGCGGTTGAATGTGGGGGAGGAGGTGTCTAGGTCAGCATAGAATTTGGCCCCTAATGTTTCTTTAATGTAGCATTTGCTTGTGACATTTGTTAGCACTTCAGTTTGATGATGGGTTAGGATATTTCACCCCTTTGATGTAGAAGAATGTCTAAGTGCTAATATTTTGTGGCAACATCAGCCCTGTAAATAAGATATTGGAAGAGCAGTACTTGGATTATATAGTTTGACTGCCTTCCTGCAGCAAGTACATTAGGCAGCATTGAAGCTGTTAAAGTGAGATAAGCTGCATGAAGTATTTTACCATCACAGTAAATTAATGCAAATGTCTTCACTGTGAGCCTGATTTTCCACTGCCCTGCACCTTGAGTGGTTATTTTCATCTGTGCAAAAGGATGGGAAAAACATGATCCAATCAGTATAGTAGGGGTTTATACCACTTTGCACTGGTGTGAATGACTAGGTAAGGGGGAAGGGAGTGGGGAATCTAGCGCTGTGAATGTGATGTGTCAACATGAAGGTAGATTGACAGATGATTTGTGTGATTAAATCAGATTATAATGTTAAGCACATGATATCCTGTCAGTTAACATGACTACCGTTGTAAATGCTATGGATCAGTTTTCTTGTATCGTTTCCCATAAAACTATAATTTCTAAAAGATCTGATATAAAGTCTGGCACTTGTCTCTAAACATGAAACCATCCTATTGTCCTTCTTTCATAATAGGATTGTATGGGAGCTATCATCAGGAGCAGCTCATTGTTTCAATTCAATATATGAGATGAATAGAGGTGGACTAATTGGTCCTGTCTGTCAACCCCTTTATTCCCTTTTAGTAAGGACGAGCAAACTTGTCTTGCTTAATTCCAAACCCATGCAAACACTGAAGTTCAACTTGAATGCTATGGGTTCTCTGTCTGCTTAGGAGGAGCTGGGGGAAAGGGAGTGAAGAGGGGGAAAATGTGTTCAATGGAAAATAGAGCACAGAGATCAGGCAGAGTGAACAAGTAAATTCAGAGGGTTCTGGGGAAAAGATGTAGAGACTGAGAACAAAATCTAATGAAGGAATAAATGTAGGAGGTCAAATTATGACCACCCACTTCAGGGAGATGCAGGAGGGGAGGTGCAAGGAACCTCCATGCCACTTGGCACAACTTCCACAAAGGAATCCCTTTCGTCATCCTGGGACTATCCCTGAGGTGGTCTGACCCCCACACAGGGCTGTACTTAACTGGCACAAGTCTGGATCATTGAACTTTTTTTTAAAACAAAAAATGGCTTTTTGACCATTACAATTTTTCCTCACCAAAAACTATGTTTTTGCTATGATTTTTCATTAAAAGGTTTACTTTTCAAAAATCAATTTTTAAATGTTTGTTTGTCTCTCTTTTTCTCCATTCCTCTTTTCTATTTTGCCACTGGAAATAGAAAATGGGAAAGGAAAAAAGGGGAAGAAAAATGAAAAACAAGAAAGATTCATGTAGGGAGATTGGTTTAATCAAAACCCCAAAAATTTCAGTGGAAATTTTTGAATTAAATGAAAAATGTTCATTCCTTTTGACATATTTTTTTGGAAAATACTTAACATTTTTCAGCTTTGGACACAAGTGTGGCTAATATACCTGCTTTACACAGTTCACCACTCATGCCAGCCTAGCTTTTGAAGGAAAAGGAGAGATTCTTCAGTCCCAAACATAGAGCTCAGGCTTCTCTTTAGCTAGGAAAACTGCATAATTCATTTAACAAATTAATGTAAATTATATTAGCACAGATTCTCCTCATTTTACATGGATGTAAATTGACTGGGTCAAAATCTGTGCTGGCCCAGAAGTCATACGAAAAGCATATGTGACAATGAAGTCAGTGGGGTTACGCCAACAGCGACCTGGCCCATTGAGTTTAATGTGAGCTTCTCATTTTCAAATACAGTGCTTGTCACCAAGGGCTTTCATACTGCAGGATGCTCCTGTTGATGCTTGAACATAACTCCCTGCCGCGTTAGTGGGTGTTATGTATGCACATCAGGAAGAGAATATACAAACCTTAAAGTGCCTGGTGCAGAAAATGAGGAAATTTTTGTATGCACAATATTATACCAAATCGGCAGCAAAAATTCATAATCATAGACAAAAATACAGGCTATTTTCAAATACAGGCAAAGAGATTTTCAGCATCCTAGGCACCGTGGGCACGTCTGCCTGTGTCTTTGCTTTGCACAGTTTCAAACAATTTGAGTTTCAGGTTCATCCAAACCTTTATGGCAAAGCTGATGCTGAGTGTATGTCTACCCAGCCCGCAGAAGCAGGCCTCTGAGCTTAGATCAGCAGACTCAGGCTAGCAGGGCTTGTGCTAGCACTCTAAAAATACCTTTATAGACAGCACGTTGACATTGCAACTTGAGCTGGAGTTTGAGCTCTGAAACCTAGGGAGTGGGGTGGGCATTAGAGCCTGAGCCACAACTGCAAAGCACTGTCTACATCACTATGTTTTAGAGTCTAGGACAAGCCACTCTAGCCGGAGTCTCTCGATTTGGGTTGGGAGGCCTGCTTCTTTAGGCTGTGTAGACAGGGTGGGGTAGCTCAGTGCTTTGAGCATTAGCCTGCTAAACCCAGGGTTGTGAGTTCAATCCTTGAGGGGGCCCCTTTGGGATCTGGGGCAAAATCAGTACTTGGTCCTGCTGGTGAAGGCAGGGGGCTGGACTCAATGACCTTTTGAGGTCCCTTCCAGGTCTAGGAGATAGGATATCTCCATATATTATTATTATGCTAAGGAGGAGAAGGGAAACAGCACATTTTGCTCCTCCCTCTCTTGTATTATGTAAGGGTTCCACTTCACATAAGAGCTCTTGAAAAATTCATTATGAAAGATGAAACTCAGCCTAGGAAAAAAGCATTCTTCAAAGACATCAACATTTTTCATGCTAGGGTTCAGTGACAGGCTTGTGCAGGTTGAAACTGGTTCAGAAGAAAAATTTCTCTATAGTGCTCAATTCTGTGCCGCCTAAAAAAAAAATGTGTATGCAGTGTTGTAGCCCAGGATATTAGAGAGACAAGGTGAGTGAGGTAACATATTTTATTGGACTAACTTCTGTTGGTGAGAGAAGCTGGTCCAATAAAAGATATTACCGTCTAGAAAAAAACGTGAGTTTTGCTGTTGATTTCAGGAGAGTAAGAGCAGGCCCTTATTTTTGAGTTTGAAACCAAAGCTAGCCAACTTTTGCAGGTTTTCAGATTTTGAAACAAAACTCTTGCATGACACTAGTTGTGTAAACTTTCCCATTTGAGATTGTGTCCTCACCTGGATGTGAAAATCTTTCTCTAGCCTGAAACGTCTGACCCAGCATATCAGTTCAATAACACAGATTCTACAGCCCTCCCTTTATACGTTAGCAGGTCTTAAGTGAAACTCTGCTCAAAAAAAGAAATCTGCATATTGAAACATATCTAAATATATATCATTATATGAGCTATGGTTGAAAAATAACATTAACAATAAAATTAACATTTTGACCATAATGGCCTTTCAAGGACTCTAAATAATCTATTGTTTGAACCTCTGTTTATTATTCTCCCTAATTTCCTATTTAAAACAAAGGAAGTGAACACTGGAAAAAAAGCCTTGAGCCAGATCGGCAGCTCCTGTAAATTGGAGTAGCTCCATTGAAGTCTATAGAGCTACACCATTTTATATGAGCTGAGGATCTGGTCCCCTGTGCTTCCAAAAAGTTGAACTACTGTAATCCAAAAGGTCCAAGGTGGCAAAGAAATTCATACCCAAGGCTAACAGTCAGTCCTTTAATCCAGTCTTTTGCTTCTTGGATAAGCAGATGCCTTCAAAAAGGGGAGTTGTAATTTTCCATAGTGTACAGTGCAGCAAATCATAGAGGAGTAACTAGAGAGACCTGAAAAACTAAGCAGAAGGATCGACGCATTTATCAAAACACGGCAATGTAAATTGTTTCTATTACATAAAGAACCTCCCAGGAAAGAGACATTGCTACAACTACAGAACTAGCCTCTGTGCTTATAACTTGACACTGCTACATAGCAATATTGTACTGACATGCTGTTAGAACACCCAAGCCCAATAACTGGATAGACTCTCAGGGCTTTGTACTAACACAGCTTTAGACTTTGCTGTCCCTAAGCACACTGAAACTCATGCTCCCAGCCTAGCAAGTTTTTGAGTTCCCATCCCGAAATACTGTAAAGGGCCCTGATTTTTCCTGGATAGTTGCTCAGCATTGTCTGAAAACCAGGCCCCTTTAAGGTATCTCAGGAACCTAAAATTGAGGTTCCCCCCCCAAAAAACACTAATTATGTTTGAAAATTTAGGCCAAACTCACTTCCCTCAGATCAATGGAGGGCAGATCTTCCTCCATGCCATTCTTGGAGCTGAAGTTATCAATGTCTTGGCGACTTGAAATCTGTATCCCTGTTGTATTAAAGGGACTGGCTAACACAGCGGATTGGGAATGGACTCTGGAGCCTTGCATTAGTCTGTTAGTGAGTCAAATCCAGCCCGGTTGGTAGTCATCACCATCTGAACGTTCTTTGGTAACCTGTGTGGAACGAGCTGGTGCTCTCAGTCCAAATGCTAGGGCGCTAGTGGGCACAAAATACATCATCACAACTGCCATCCTGGCTGGCAGTTTCAATCGAGAAGCAAAAAGAATGAATGGGGCGATTGAACTACCCTCAGGTCCCAGAGTTGGAGATTTCAGGCCAGGATTGAAATGAATTGGCAAGACAACCTAGGGACGCTTACATGGCCACACCAGTTTTACAGCTACATAGAGGGCATCAGCCTCCAGGACTGTCAATCTGACACCTTTCTAAAGTTCTAAATTCCCGCTAAAAACTGTAGTGAGTTTGTATCCAAATTACGATTTGATGGAAACCAAGGCATGGCATGGCAATGAGAAATGGTGTTTTAAGACATGCAGGAGCCAGGGGAACATTCTGGGGTGAAAATAAGAGACAGCAGTGAAAATCAGCAAAAGCTCAGAGTTGTTGTTTGACTATTTTCCACTTGAGCCTTTTGCTCTGATGGCAAAATGCAAAGTATAGGACTCATGTGAGTTGGAGACTATTAATAATTGTGCAGTTTAAAAGATCATTTCCTAATCATTCATCTTGCCCATCTGTTAAGGGAAAAGTGATGGACAAGAATTCTTCAGGGTCAGAATATGTTGCCAAGTTCAGGGAACAGTCAGGATCCCAGCAATTTTTTTTTTTTAAATAGAATAGAAACAAAGAATTGGGAAGTGACTTTCTAATATTAGATCATGTTTTCTGCCTCCAGTTCTCTCCTCGGACCACCCGCTATCTTAGAAATAGCCTGAGAAATGGTCACTTACACCATTTCTAACCTCATGAACCAGCGGCAGTGTTTCAGTGTCTGTGTTGCTAATTTATTGAGGAGTTGCTTCCCAGTTACTCATGTGCTTTGGCAGTATGGCAGCCTCCCATGCATGAACATGTCAGCATGAGTAGGTGCTGTTTTAAGCAGATTCCAATTGGATACAGCAAGCTGTAAGTGCCCAAAAGCAGTAGTCTCTCACTCCCCCGCCCTCCCCCCAAAGCCACAATATTGTTTTGCATTTATCAGCAGCACTAGTTCCACGTAGTAGCTGAGGCACTGTGCAGGGTCCCAATCTAATGTGACAACAGTTAGCAATAAGGGGCTTCAGTCTCCATTAACTTAGATGCCCTTTACAGTGCTTTAACAGAGTAACTCCTGATTTACCCCTGAGCAAGATAAGAATCAGGTCCAAAGATTACAGCTTGTGGCCAATGCTTGAAGCTGGCCAAGCTCTGATCGATGCAGGACCCCCGAGAGGTGAAGGAAGGGAAAAAAACAGCTTAAAGCCACCTTTGCATTCCCCCAATCCCTGAGGTAGCTAGGGGCTGATCTGGCCTGCTGCACAGCTTGGAGCACCTGATCTAAGTTCTTGCAGCTGTTACAGCCTCCTAAGACCTGATGTCTGGCAGAATGCCAGCTGGAGGTTCCCACAGGCAAGGACTAGAGTATTACAAGCTTGCAAGAGAAATGTCTTTGGACAGGCAGTTCCTTACAGGGATCAGGAAGGAATATTTTTACCCAATGCACAATTGGCCAAATGTATTCTGTCTTTGGTTTTTTGCCTTCCTCTGAAGCATCAGGGATTGACCACAGCTGAAGACAGGCCACTGGACAGGGGTTCTGAGGTGCTCAAGGCTCTTTCTTAGAGGCCTGGCTGGTAAATCTTGTTCATGGGCTGAGGGTCCAACTGATCACCAGATCTGGGGTTGGAAAGGAATTTTCCCCCCCAAGTCAGATTTTCAGGGACCTTGGATTGTTTTCGCCTTTCTCTGTGGCATGGAGTGTGGATCACCTGCTAGGATCATTTGGGTCTATCCTACCTAATCATTTCTCTTCCCCTGCAGGGGGCTTGGGTTGCTGGTGACATCTCAGTCTGGCACAAAACATTTTAGTCTGAGGACTAAAATGCTTTAGTCTAATCCCAGTTACTGGGTTCAACACAGGGGTAACTGGATGAAATTTAATGGCCTGTTATATACAGGAGGCCAGAGTAGGTGGCCTAATGCTCCCTTTACTTCTATGAAACTAGATCCTCCCACCTAATTATGAACTAAATCTGCCGCAGTTTCATAGAGGGTGTTACCACTGACAGCAGTGGGAGCTCTGAAGGGAATCAGCAGCAAGATCAAAAACCCTTTGAAAGCCCAGCCTGCCATTGTTCAGTTATTGCAGAGGGGGATGAAACGAGACTTTTGTGACTATGTGAATAAGTGATATTCTTTGACCCATGAAGAATTATGCCCATTAGAAGTTAGGCATCTAAATAACTTGGAGGATCTGAGCCTATACATATGTACAATACCTACCAGAATTGGGCCTTAATCTAAGATGAGGCATTTAGGTACTAATGTAATAAATATAAATCATCATCCATCTGAAAATTATGCAATTAGATATATTTTAGGGCCATGTGTTAGTGGCATGTCCTCTGAGTAGCTAAATATTGCACATACTGGCAGCATATTCTCCCCTGTTCAGAGACAACACCATGAAGTGATAGTTCAGCTGGCATGGTGTCAAGGATGCAAGAGTCCATCGGAGAGACCGTTCAGTGCCCCACATCACTGCTGTGGATGCATCTGTTTTATGCCTAACCTTGGAATGCTGTTTGATTTCAATAGCTTGTTTGCTGGAAGTGTACGGAACCTTAGCGCCACATTGTACATGTTGGCTTACATTTATTAAAGTGATTTGGGATGCGTTGTTTGTTGTTGCTTGCCCAGTTGATAAACTTTACAGGGCCAGATTTTTAGAAGACAGCTGCTCAGTAATGTGTAAAAGGCAGGCCTCTTAATGGTGTCTCTAGCTGGGCCCTCTAAAACTACACTACCTAAAATCACTAGTCACTTCAGAGAATATATTCTTTAACCTTAGTATTGTAGTAGAGTCCAGATGCTTCACTCATGATTGGCTCCCATTGTCAGAGACACTATACAATCACACGCAAAGTGAGAGTCCCTGCTTCAAAACCCTTGATAGAAGACACTTCCCCCTGATGCCAGAGAAAACTGCAAGTGTATATTGGCACTTCAAAAAGAAACCCTTGATCACTTTATATATGGAGGTGGAGTTTCTTACATTTGGAGTTGAAATATAAAGGAGACAGTTCTATATACAGGCTTTATAAGCACAAAGTCTCCCCCACACAGTAAGTACTTGCTCATGGAATAAAGTGGCTGTTTATCTGACTATTTCCCCACCTCTTTAACTTCAGATCTGCGTGACTTCTGAAAAGGAACATGATGGCTTTATCAAAGTGTACTGTGGGAAGAAGAAAGGCTTTGTCCCCCTAGACGTCTTAGAAATCATCTGATTTCAGCACTGCACTTGCTGCAGTAGGAAAGCTTTGCTGGCAATGCCTGTCTGCCTCATCTCACACTGTGTCAACCCCGCTGGGCCGTCTTGCAGATGATCAGGGACTAGTGAGACGACCACAGCAACAAAAAAAAGACACTTAGACTGTTACAGCAACAAGAAATAAAAAGATGAGGGTTGATTAAAAGAATATACATCAGGAAACCTCTAGGGGAAAAGGGGCCAAGGAAAGTAAAAGGAATAAGGTAAGGAATGGCTGGACTAGCTCATTTTCAGTGCAAGATGGCTATTAATTATCCTGATGGAGACAGACAGACACAGACAGACAGCTGTTCTGAAGGACTAACCTCATACCTGCTCATCTGTCTTAAAAAAAGCTGTTGGAGTATGTTTTTGTTTGAAGTGTGATTTCATGGGGGTGAGGTTCAAACTGTCCTTGTAGTACAGTCTGATCTTGTAGTAAAGTGTGACTGTGATTCTAGAGTTTTGTCCACAGTATTAGCCAATCAGCATAGCGTTTAATCCCGATGTCAAGTCTCCTAACAAAGCAGTTTGGAGGCACTGTGTAAACGTCAGTCTGAGAAGTTAATGCACCATTGTCTGGACGCCAACGGCTTTCTCTTTCTCTGTGCTCAGACTGTACAAAAGAGCAGCCAACTTCTACGTCCTTTGCTTTCTCTGTATACAAACAAAACTCTTGGCACACGTGGGATGTAACTGCTGCTCTGGTCGCTGACAAACTTAGAGTCCCTCCTGTTCAGAAGGCCAAGCTAGAAGTATTCCTCTGTGATTCCTTGCTCCTTTATCTGGTGGCAGAGGAAGTGTCAGAAATACAGAGCTGAGTGAGAGCCCGATGCTTGAAAAGTTTTCTATTTTTCCATGAGTATTAAGTTTGAAGAGATTTTATATATTGATCCTATTTATAAGTAGTAGATAATCAACCAAGCTCCTTCTAGAGTGAAAACGCTACTAAAGAATTGCAGTAATTGTTGGTGAAGCTAGGAATCCTCCCATTCCAGGATCAATGAGAGAGAGAAATAAACTAGAGTATCATTTAATTGTATTAACACGAAGTCTCTTGCTTCATTCACTAGACGGGAGCTTTTAGGAATCAGACTAAGCTAAATTCTGCCTTCACACACACATGCAAACCCTATTGATGCCAGTGAGGTTGCAAGAGGTGTCTGTCAGGGCAATGTTTGGCCTATTGTCTGCATCATGTAGGCCCCAGTCTTGTAATCTGTTCTGTGCATATGAACCCCTGCAATGGTCTCTGTGCAGGCATAAGAGTCTGCCGGTGCAGATCAGATGGCAGCATCAGGGCCTTGGTCTATTGGTCTCATAATATTTCCCACTTGAGTTCTTGCCTTTGTTGTCCAGCCTGTGACAGAACCCTACTCTATATTATTACCAGGGGGGCTGGAACAATTTTTATAGTGGGGGTGTTGAGAGCCATTGAACCAAACTGTAAATCCTGTATATAATGAAATCCACTTCAAGCTAGCGGGTGCGGCATACCCCTGGTTCCAGCACCTATGATTACTACTAGAGATAGACCCAACTCAAAATCCTAAATCCGTATATTCCCACACAAAGGAGAAGTTTCAGATCTGCATCTGAACTTCACATGTGGCCACACTCTTTAAAATGGGCTGAACCACACAATCCTGCAGTCAAGCACTGCAGAATTATGAATCTGTATCCATAAGCCCTGGTCCTGCAGCTAGATTGGCCTATATGAACTGTCCATGCAGAGGCTTCCTGAGGACAATGGGGTTCCATTCAGCCTCAGAGTGCAAGATCAGAGCCAGACATTGTAGCTCTCGTCTGGCTCTCATTAGTGTGGTAGTGTCAGCTGCTGAACCTTTTTTCTTCATAGCTAATGTAATCTAAACAAATCACATGTCATTTCAGTTCAGACATTGTTCAGTGGGGAGATCAAAGATATATAAATGGCCTTTTTCAGTGTAAACAATGAACTACTTTAACTCAGCTTATTGTCCAAGATAATCAGAAAACTCCTGTGGGGGATGGGGAGACTGAAGATGCTGATATGGCTTAGAGACCAAGAGGAAAAGCAGCAGAAATGCTATTAATCCATCCTGCTTTATAACATTATTTTATTTGATATTCACCAATTTTTAAAAAACCTCAAATGCCTGTTACAACTAAAATTATTGCTTTACTTTGGTCCAGCCTGTTATGCATAAGACTAGGGAAATCTGTTTTAATCTATACATATATGCTCTTGTTTACATGATTGCATCATACTGTGATTCCCTCCTATGTCACTCTCCTATTATTTCAGTTTCTCCCTAAAACATGCATCGTACTAGTCAAAGAATAATATGAACATTAACTACAATTCACAATGGCCTTTAATCAATGTCAGTTTGATTTCTTTTGATACCAAGCAATAAATAATAAAGTGACTGAAAAGCCCCTAAGTGGATTACATCATGGTGGAGCAAGCATTACTTTCTAAATAAAAGCTTTCATGGTTATTTTTACTTTTTCCTTTTATGTCACTGGTTGATGTGTATTTTGTCCCTGATTCACAAGTTGTTTATGCATGTGCCTAGCTTTAAGCAGAAGAGTAACCAATGGATCATATGGTTGAAGCCAGGCACTTGCTTAAACACTTTACTCATCAATTTTGGATGCTTTACTTTGATTTCAGATTGGCATTCCATAGTTTTTTCTACCATGTGCAGTTCATCATAGATATTTGCATTAATAAACAGATAAAGTCCAGTTCATCACTGCGGCTGGCCTATCTGGCACTTGCTCAGATAAATTGTATTTTAGGAGATAAGGGTTGTTCATATCTAATTTTATATTTTGCTTAATAAAGAACATGCAGCGGCTGGCTGGAAGGAGAATGGAGAACACGTGTATCAATCTCTTCATTGCATTGGGTATTTTATCATTACAGAGATGTTATCGGAGCACTTACTGCAGGCATCAGCAACAGGACCTGTTGAATACTTTCATTGAAACCCTATAGGGCTTGCTCCTGTCCCAACTGGAGTTTCTCCTTTGAAACATTTCTAAAACAGTTCTTCTGTAAAATAGTAGTATATACAGGATGGTGCAGTGTAGAATAAAGGTTTTGTTTTATCCGTGCCGATTTGGGATAGTCAAAGTTAGCTCTTTCAGACCGCTGTTTTACAGTCCAAACCCATCAGTCTGACTACACCACGGTTTCTTGCAACACTTTCTGAAGCAGCTAGTCCTGGCCACCGTCAGAGACAGAATACCGGACTGGCTGGAACACAGGTCTGATACACTGTGGTTGTCCGTATGCTTATTCACATATGCAAGATAGAAAGACATACTATTTAGATATTTTCCTTAAATTTGTCTCATGCTTAAACAAGTGTTTTTGCACATCAGTGAAAGTGGGGAAAATATTAAAAATGCACAAAAAGTCAGTTTTCATTCTATCTGGAATAGATGGTGGTATGAAAGATATTACCATGTATATTATTCTATATTTCACTAGCTTATTTATAATCATAAACCAACCAAACCAGTTCATTTTATACATTTTGTATGAAGTTACAAATCATCATCAAGATGTGTGCAATACGTTTTGTAAAGCACATAGTGCCTGGCTCCTAAATGTTTTCCAGTGGGACTATATGTCAACAAATTCCTCACATTTAGTTTTTTCCATGGCAAAAATAAGATAATCTAAGTTAAGAGGCACACAAGTGTTTATTTTTAAAGCCATTCTTTATATAGAAATCAGTAGTATGCTTGGGGAACAAACACTTGGCAGACTTTGCTCACAAGAGGCCCAGAGCTGGAACAGCAGGGTTGCTGCAAGTCAGCATGTAACAATGTGTCTTACGCTATTAGTCCTTTGTACTCACAAGCATCAAATGGATGGCAAGCGCTTAGCCCCTTTATCATCCAGCCTTATTGACTGGTTTTCTTAATGTTTTTGGGAGAGGTGAGGAGGGATAGCTCAGTGGTTTGAGCATTGGCCTCCTAAACCCAGGGTTGTGAGTTTGATCCTTGAGGAAGCCATTTAGGGAGCTGGGGTAAAAATCTGTCTGGGAATTGGTCCTACTTTGAGCAGTGAGTTGGTCTAGATGACCTCCTGAGGACCCTTCCACTCCTAATATTCTATGATTCTAGAGACTCAGGTAAGTGGCACCCTGAGATGGCAAGATAAATAGATATAGGGTGCTCTCTGCATTAGACAAAGTGTCTACCATATAAATGCACATCTGCACTGCAAACATACAATATTGTAGGCATAGACATAACAAAACACGTTCCATTTCCAAAATGCCTCTAGCTAATCACAATTAGGTTATTTTACCATATAAAAAGTACTGTACCCCAACCCTAGAACCACAGTCAGATCAATATGTAAAACTCACCTCTTGAACTGAGCTTTCTCACTAGAACAAGACACTCAAAATATCTCTCTTCACTTGGGGCTAGATGGATTCTTTTTCAAAAGTGTCCAATGCACAGATGCTATGGTAACGGCACAATATGAAAATCTACATAAATGAGACAGAAACAGCCCATTGGTACAGCTAAGTAAGTATCCTGCCAGGTCACTGATACCTGGTGATCAAAGGAAAGTGGCATATAAATAAACAAGGGTTATTTTAGCATTGAAACAAGCTGCAATGAGAGGCCATAACAAACAATTGGGATAGTCTGCCTAAATATATATCTCAGTTGCCAACATTAAATTAATCAAGGCCCCCAAAGTCTCCGACACAGCACTGATGATGAAGTGACAACACCCCTACCCCGCCCCCCCGCTCATGCGCACACATATACACACACCCCAAACACACACCCAGTTGAAGCATCAGCTCTTTGGCACCCACTCTTCCCCTACTATCCCCATCACAGTAGTAATTTCCCACCCACCTACCCCCTTTGCTATGTTGGCTTGCCGGAGACACCCTAGCACAGAGCTATATGCCATACAGGCAGTGCATATTGCTGAGTGGCGCTGCCAAATCCTGTCTGCCCTCCCCACCGGCAATGACTGCATGACAGTTCCGCTGCTGGGGTCGGCTGCATCCATTGGAGAAAGCGCTAGATTTGTCCCCACAGGAACAACAGTCAAATAAAACTGACAGTTAAAATGGCAACAGGCAGGCCCACAACTTTACAGTGTGGCCTTCTTAATGACACATTACACAGCCATATGCAGACCCGCCACTTCTTGTGTCTGTCTGCCATGGGCCATTTATCATGACTAATATTAAACATCTGGGCCTGCCCTGATTCACCATTAGCCCACCATCCATTCGTGTTTTGGTTACATTGACACTCACACTTCTCCCTTGATGGCGCGTCCTTTTGCTTACGCAAGCCTGCATCGCAGCTGCCCTGTTAAATACTCAGTCTCGTCCCTAAACCGACTCAA